ACTTAACGATTTTGTAAACGTCAAATGTTTTCAGGGCTAGCACTGCTCTATTGGAAAGTGACAAAAAAAATACAAAATTCCAGGCCAGTCCCGGAGGCCGGGTCCGAGTACCTTTGCAATGGCTCGCAAAAACAACGATTCTGAAAAGATACCCACCAATATTCCTTCAAAACTTAACGATTTTGTAAACGTCAAATGTTTTCAGGGCTAGCACTGCTCTATTGGAAAGTGACAAAAAAAAATACAAAATTCCAGCCAGTGCCGGAGGATGGGTCCGAGTACCTATGCAACGGCTCGCAGAAACAACGATTCTGAAAATATACCCACTAATATTCCTTCAAAACTTAACGATTGTGTAAACGTCAAATGTTTTCAGGGCTAGCACTGCTCTATTGGAAAGTGACAAAAAAAAATACAAAATTCCAGGCCAGTGCCGGAGGATGGGTCCGAGTACCTATGCAACGGCTCGCAGAAACAACGATTCTGAAAATATACCCACCAATATTCCTTCAAAACTTAACGATTGTGTAAACGTCAAATGTTTTCAGGGCTAGCACTGCTCTATTGGAAAGTGACAAAAAAAATACAAAATTCCAGGCCAGTCCCGGAGGCCGGGTCCGAGTACCTTTGCAATGGCTCGCAAAAACAACGATTCTGAAAAGATACCCACCAATATTCCTTCAAAACTTAACGATTTTGTAAACGTCAAATGTTTTCAGGGCTAGCACTGCTCTATTGGAAAATGACAAAAAAAAATACAAAATTCCAGGCCAGTGCCGGAGGATGGGTCCGAGTACCTATGCAACGGCTCGCAGAAACAACGATTCTGAAAATATACCCACTAATATTCCTTCAAGACTTAACGATTCCGTAAACGTCAAATGTTTTCAGGGCTAGCACTGCTCTATTGGAAAGTGACAAAAAAATACAAAATTCCAGGCCAGTCTCAGAGGTCGGGTCCGAGTACCTTTGCAATGGCTCGCAAAAACAACGATTCTTAAAATATACCCACCAATATTCCTTCAAAACTTGACAATTCCGTAAACGTCAAATGTTTTCAGGGCTAGCACTGCTCTATTGGAAAATGACAAAAAAATACAAAATTCCAGGCCAGTCTCAGAGGTCGGGTCCGAGTACCTTTGCAATGGCTTGCAAAAACAACGATTCTGAAAATATACCCACCAATATTCCTTCAAAACTTAACGATTGTGTAAACGTCAAATGTTTTCAGGGCTAGCACTGCTCTATTGGAAAGTGACAAAATAAAATACAAAATCCCAGGCCAGTCCCGGAGGCCGGGTCCGAGTACCTTTGCAATGGCTCGCAAAAACAACGATTCTGAAAAGATACCCACCAATATTCCTTCAAAACTTAACGATTTTGTAAACGTCAAATGTTTTCAGGGCTAGCACTGCTCTATTGGAAAATGACAAAAAAATACAAAATTCCAGGCCAGTCTCAGAGGTCGGGTCCGAGTACCTTTGCAATGGCTTGCAAAAACAACGATTCTGAAAATATACCCACCAATATTCCTTCAAAACTTAACGATTGTGTAAACGTCAAATGTTTTCAGGGCTAGCACTGCTCTATTGGAAAGTGACAAAAAAAATACAAAATTCCAGCCAGTGCCGGAGGATGGGTCCGAGTACCTATGCAACGGCTCGCAGAAACAACGATTCTGAAAATATACCCACTAATATTCCTTCAAAACTTAACGATTGTGTAAACGTCAAATGTTTTCAGGGCTAGCACTGCTCTATTGGAAAGTGACAAAAAAAAATACAAAATTCCAGGCCAGTGCCGGAGGATGGGTCCGAGTACCTATGCAACGGCTCGCAGAAACAACGATTCTGAAAATATACCCACCAATATTCCTTCAAAACTTAACGATTGTGTAAACGTCAAATGTTTTCAGGGCTAGCACTGCTCTATTGGAAAGTGACAAAAAAAATACAAAATTCCAGGCCAGTCCCGGAGGCCGGGTCCGAGTACCTTTGCAATGGCTCGCAAAAACAACGATTCTGAAAAGATACCCACCAATATTCCTTCAAAACTTAACGATTTTGTAAACGTCAAATGTTTTCAGGGCTAGCACTGCTCTATTGGAAAGTGACAAAAAAAAATACAAAATTCCAGCCAGTGCCGGAGGATGGGTCCGAGTACCTATGCAACGGCTCGCAGAAACAACGATTCTGAAAATATACCCACTAATATTCCTTCAAAACTTAACGATTGTGTAAACGTCAAATGTTTTCAGGGCTAGCACTGCTCTATTGGAAAGTGACAAAAAAAATACAAAATTCCAGGCCAGTGCCGGAGGATGGGTCCGAGTACCTATGCAACGGCTCGCAGAAACAACGATTCTGAAAATATACCCACCAATATTCCTTCAAAACTTAACGATTGTGTAAACGTCAAATGTTTTCAGGGCTAGCACTGCTCTATTGGAAAGTGACAAAAAAAATACGAAATTCCAGGCCAGTCCCGGAGGCCGGGTCCGAGTACCTTTGCAATGGCTCGCAAAAACAACGATTCTGAAAAGATACCCACCAATATTCCTTCAAAACTTAACGATTTTGTAAACGTCAAATGTTTTCAGGGCTAGCACTGCTCTATTGGAAAATGACAAAAAAATACAAAATTCCAGGCCAGTCTCAGAGGTCGGGTCCGAGTACCTTTGCAATGGCTTGCAAAAACAACGATTCTGAAAATATACCCACCAATATTCCTTCAAAACTTAACGATTGTGTAAACGTCAAATGTTTTCAGGGCTAGCACTGTTCTATTGGAAAGTGACAAAAAAAATGCAAAATTCCAGGCCAGTGCCGGAGGATGGGTCCGAGTACCTATGCAACGGCTCGCAGAAACAACGATTCTGAAAATATACCCACTAATATTCCTTCAAAACTTAACGATTGTGTAAACGTCAAATGTTTTCAGGGCTAGCACTGCTCTATTGGAAAGTGACAAAAAAAATACAAAATTCCAGGCCAGTGCCGGAGGATGGGTCCGAGTACCTATGCAACGGCTCGCAGAAACAACGATTCTGAAAATATACCCACCAATATTCCTTCAAAACTTAACGATTGTGTAAACGTCAAATGTTTTCAGGGCTAGCACTGCTCTATTGGAAAGTGACAAAAAAAATACAAAATTGCAGGCCAGTCCCGGAGGCCGGGTCCGAGTACCTTTGCAATGGCTCGCAAAAACAACGATTCTGAAAAGATACCCACCAATATTCCTTCAAAACTTCATGCATTATCAGCAACTTCACATGTAGAGTTGGAGGCTGGAAAGCAATGGCCAGAAGCCAAAACCATCAGGCCCTGGCCAGACTTCGCTCAAAAGCGCCCAAAAGCGCGCAAAAGCGCTCAAACTTCTCTGACCTCTCCTCACTCTCTCTCATCTCTCCTCACACGAGAAAGTGAAGAGACACCAGAGAAATTTGGGCGCTTTTGCGCGCTTTTGAGCGCTTTTGGGCGCTTTTGCGCGCTTTTGAGCGCTTTTGGGCGTTTTTGAGCGCTTTTGAGCGAAGTCTGGCCAGGGCCTCACTGATAGTCTCATCGTCCACGTACATCAATAAGAACACGCAAGAAAGACAATGTATAAGAAAAACCGGGCCTTTTATGATGGGTGCTTGTTGTGCATACCAATCGGGTGACTGCAACCCACCAGAAGTATCTCTTCTCTAATGTTCCTGTCGTTCCAATTTGCTCCAATTTCAAAAACGGTGTGATGGTAGTGACTCTAAGCTAACGATTGCGCAAATTTCATTCTGTTAGCTTATTCGTAAACACGCGTTTTGCACATACTATTCTCTTCATTACATCATTTGTCACATCTTTATCGACTTAAAGATTCTAAATAGCCTTGTTTCGGTATCCTTCATTTTTTTTGCAAGAACTTGCCCTAATGTGTTTCTAATTCTGTAAAGCTCACAGAAGATGTTAATGTAATTCAAGCAGTAAAACATACATGCCGATAACCATTATACATCGAAATCATCATCAATCATGACGGGAAGTCCTGCGAGGTTCTGCTAGACTGTGGCAATCATATGTATAACTATCGTATCACCTGTCATATCCAGTTATGCTTTTTACTGCCTACAATTACACACTTATGAAAGTTGCATGGAATGTGCGCTTTGTTTTTAGCGCTTGGATTCCTTTACAAACCAAATCTGAAACGATTTAGTCAAAGGGATGACTGAAAAGATTGTAGAGCAGTGCGAGGTTGCAATCAATTACTTTATGCTGCATGTCTATTCTGAGATATCAACATTGAGGTTGTTGTAAGAAGCAAACAATGACAACGTTGGTCTTTAGCCATTAGAGACGCTTGTACCACTTTCAAAGGTTGTTTAGTCCAGGGAGAGAGTTGGACAAGTTCAATAGGTATCTTATAGTCACTACCACCACACCTGTTTTTAAAACTGAAGCAAATGAACAGCTGGAATACTTGGCAGAAAGACGCCTTTGGCTGGTTACAGTCACCCATTGGTCTGCGTAACTAGTACATCATACAAGGCACTGTTTTTTCTTATATAGCGTTTTCTTACATTTTTTCTTTATAAGACTGTCAGAGATGGTTTGACTTCTAACCATTGTTCTCCGCGCCTCCACTTCTCTATATGGAAAATAGCTGATGACGCAGGAAATCAGGCTAAATTGGGACATTGTGTGGCATCGTAAACCTCGTAAGTTTGTCATACTGGGAGATATCGGCTCTCAATCATTTGAACTGGATTTACTCGCTCGTCTGTCTATCAAACCTCTATTTGTACACAATTTGAATGCTTGTAAAGGAGACTGGGGAGAGAACTCTGCTCCAATCGTAATTCGCGCTCTATTGCGAAATCAGCCATTGGGTTGCTGTACATCTTCCGTCTCTCCATCCACCAATCCAGTACCCCTTTGCCATACAGACGATATTTTTCGTCCTAAAGGAAGGCGCATGCAGGAATGACTAATAATGTCAAAATCTTTCATACCCACATTCTAGTCATTTCTCTGCTGACACCATGAGGTAGTTTTGTATGCTTCACAATGATTATAGTTATCTTCATCTTCTACATCTATTGCCTCCTGGAGGGAAAGTACACGTCACATGTCGCACACATGCAGCTGAGGAAATCAGGTTTACCCTTTCCTCTTTCTTCCTCTCTGAGCCTCTCTCATCATGCGGTCTCTGTCTTCTACCGTGGTTCGAGTAAGCCTGGTGTGGCCAAGACTGTTCCACCACTGCGGTAAAAAAAGTGCGTCTCATCCCACATTCTAGTCGAAGAAGTAGATCTCGCAATTTCTTCCAAGACGTGTTAGGCTGGTCAAGTTCCTGCAAAAAAAACTTTCTAGTGATTTGATACATGAACAGAAAAAGAAAACAACCTTTTTGAATTCGGCATAGGCAGAAGGCCATTTACGTTGCATCAATTCTAAGGGAACTTTCCTCAAAAGCTTACCAATGGTCCACGCAACATACAAAGTTTGCAGTTTTTCACTCCCATAGATTATGTCCTTTCGCTGTCGACCACTGTAACAAATGAAGTCTTGAAAATTGTGTTACTGAAAGGGGAAGCTAAGATGTATCACAAGCCAGACAAGATTGCATTTGCGATTCATCAAAGAGCTTGCTTCATAAAAAAATAGTTTTGGCTAATGAAGAGGTAAACCTAAACAATACAAGACGAGAAAGTAAGCACTTTTGCACGTAATCAAACTAATGGCCTAAGATGGAAATTCCACATGTTTTACATACATATACAGATCGAATGGAAGATGGATAGGCATGAATGCGGATATTCCTTCACTTTTACGATCTCATGAGAGAGACAGCAGACTTCGAAAAATGGAGCTACACATATCTACAGAGCAGAAGAAAACGCGAAAAAGAAGAGAAGAAACCATACCTCAAATGCCTATTCTCCTTTCTCCATCAGTGAGACTTGGTGCAATGGTACTTCTTTTTGTCAGCAACTTTCCTTCTAGTTGCAGGATGTTCGCCGAATTTGTGTTCAACAAACAGATTCCTATACTTGCTGAAACAAAAGTGAACCGTTCCCCTCTAGTAGCGTAAAAAGCAGCAATAGGTAGGTAGACGCCGACGCGAAAGGACTCAGCGATATGCCTCCGACTTTCGTTGCGTACCAGCGGCGTTCGACTGCCCTCTAAGCGCAACACGCAAACGCCGCTGGTAGGGCAGTCGCACGCCACTGGTACGCTGTGGAACTCCGCTGGCAGGAGAATGGTACGCCGCTGGTACGCGAAGAGGATACGCCTTCGGACCGCATGTTCACCCGATTTTCGATTACGTGCTATTGCAGCATTAGTTGGTTTGAAAATTGCTATATCGTCATATTTTATGAAGCCGAAATCAGCGCAAAATTTCCTGCTATTTCGATCGATGGACTTCATTGGATCGAAATCGGGGGACTGTGGGCCACCCCTACAACACCAAGCTGAGGTGTTATCAGGTCACTCAATGAGAACAACAACTCAATCTTATTCCTTTGTCAAGTGCTGAGAAGCGCTAGCTAACCGCTAAAATGCTGAGGCGGCCCAACCACTGCGTCGTATCCCATACGGGTACGGCTTACGCTTACAGCGTGGGTAATGTGATGGGACGCCGCTCGCTGCTTGGGTTGATGGAACGCCGCTCGCCAAAAGACGGTACGCCGCTGGTAGGGCGCATTAAGGGACGCCGTTGGTACGTTAAGCGCACTCCGCTGGTACGCAAAGCCATTTAGGTACGCCGCTGGTACGCAACGAAAGTCTGAGGCCATTCGATTGGAGCGCGCTTTCCTCCTTAGGAAACGGGGCTGCTGAGGGTATTTTTGCCTCTAGCGACAAGGAGAGGAGGAGGTTTGAAACCAAATTTTCTGTATATACTAATCTTTAGGCGTAGAGTATATTTATGTAAAAAGTTTGGAAAAATTATGTGAACTGAGAGTTTTGCCCACCTCAGGTGAGCATTAGGTCGGCAATTGCCGACCTAATTTGGAATTTAGTTAAGCACGCTCTTCATTCACATAAGTTTTTCATAATATTAGGTTGTCGGATAATTTCTGTTACACTTTTTTCTAAAATTTCTAGAAAATTCTAGAAGCTTTCTGAAAACCCCAAATCTGCAACACGCTTAGGACATAGCAGGCTCTACCCACCAGCATGATTGATTCCGCAAGTGCACGAATGACCAACAAGTTTACGGCAGTTTTGTAAAAGCGGTCAAATTTTTCAGTTTTTGTCTGATCTTTTTCTTTGCACCTACTTGCACTTTTCCCTCTCCAGAATTTTTCTAGAACGTATTTTAGCATTGTATCTTACATGGAGGCATTGCGGTGCTTTTAGCGTTCCAAAAACGAGGGGTGAAAAAATATCAAAAAAATTCAAAAACTTACCTAAATTCTTCTTTTTATGTGCATCGTATAGAAATGAATACAGAAAATACAAAAATGATTTTTTGAAATTTTTTGAAGACGTTTTCTTCGTAAAAATCCCGATGATTGCAAAGACGGCGCACACTGAGATTTGAACCGCTCAGAAAAACGGGTGCAGACATGTCTGCGTTATCCCCCCATATTAGCTAAACGCTATAGACTATGCCCTACCTGATTACCACATTGTCCGGCTCCATCGCTCATCACCTGAGAGAACGCCAGCTCATTTACAAAAATGGGAAGAAACGGATTTTTAGCCACAAAGTGCGTGCTTTGCGCATAAACCGCGGATGCGACGGTACCCTTGTATAGGCCTTTTGACGCTGCCCATACACCTTGAACATGAGATCTTTCCAAAGCTTCTGAGATTTTCAAGAATTAAAATAAAAAGTGTAACAGAAATTATCCGACAACCTAATATTTTATACTTTACTAGCTGGCTTACCCGGCTCCGCCGTATCCAGACCAAACTTGAGTGAACGTGGCGCGGTGGAAGCTGCTATCCAACTAGTAGCAAACACAGGATCAAGTATCAGGTTTATCTGCATGGCATATAGAAGGCACATCAAGCATAATAACGAGATAGAGCATGATGGTAATCCATGGCATAGGTCGGTAGAGGATACAGATGGGGACCGCATCAGCGGGAGACGGTGAGCACGATCGGGTCCGGCCGTCCAGTAGCCTGTCGGCGGGGAGACTCCATAGTGGACTAGTCGGCGGGTGTTCGCGGTGGTAGATTATATACCATATTGCGGAATGCATATCATCCTCATATCTGTAACAGTCAATCTCATTCTCATAACATACTTTGCCTTTATCAAAGCTTTATATCTTGTTCTCATAACATAGCTTCTCGTTTGCACATCTTCATGCAGCTACGCTTACACTTGGCACACATACACTTCGGGCCCCGGCGAGTGTCACAGTCCACTTTTCGTTATCGATCGATGTCGATTTTACCGATTTTTACCGATTTTTTTGCAGAGTTCACCTACAGGGCTAGGAGTTGGCACAGGGGGGAAGTGAGCATGGGGATTCCGAATACAATATTAGTTTTCAAAATTATCGATTATTTTTATTGATTTTATCGATTTTTTGTAAATTTTGACATGCGAGGCTGGGATTTTGCACAGGGGGGGGGTAATCGAGCATGCTGATTACGAATACAATATATCGATTACCCCCCTGTGCCAACTCCCAGCTCCCTAGCACAAACTTTGCAAAAAAATCGGTAAAATCGATAAAAGTAATCGATAATCCTGAAAACCAATATTGTATTCGGAATCCCCATGCTCGATTACCCCCCTGTGCCAACTCCCAGCCCCGTAGCTCAAACTTTGCAAAAAAATCGGTAAAATCGATAAAAGTAATCGATAATCCTGAAAACCAATATTGTATTCGGAATCCCCATGCTCGATTACCCCCCTGTGCCAACTCCCAGCCCCATAGCTTAAACTTTGCAAAAAAATCGATAAAATCGATAAAAGTAATCGATAATCCTGAAAACCAATATTGTATTCGGAATCCCCATGCTCGATTACCCCCTTGTGCCAACTCCCAGCCCCGTAGCTCAAACTTTGCAAAAAAAATCGATAAAATCGATAAAAGTAATGATAATCCTGAAAACCAATATTGTATTCGGAATCCCCATGCTCGATTACCCCCCCCCCCCCCCTGCCAACTCCCAGCCCCGTAGGTGAACTCAGCAATAAAATCGATAAAAATCGATAAAATCGATATCGATCGATGACGAAAAGTAGCCTATGACACCCGCCGGGGCCCGAAGTGTATGTGTGCCAAGTTTGGTCCGGATCGGTTCAGAAATGGAATTTTCTATTCGGAACATACGTACAGACAGACAGACAGACAGACAGACAGACAGACAGACATACAAACAGACATTCAGCTTTATATATAAGACTAGCGACCCTACGGGTCGCTAGTAGATGGGTGGGGGCAGATACATCGATATCTGCCATTAATTAACTAAAATCCCAAGAAAGAGAATTTTCATCTTCCCAGCGACCTTTCGCATGTTATGAGTAGTAGAAACAAAACACCATGCTCTTAGGAAAAGAAGCTACTACCACTGACTATGCGCAAAGCATCTTTGCTGTTTTCTTGCACATACCTTTGCCCAGATACCACAGCTCTTAAATAAGGAAGCTACCTCGAAGCACCTGTTTAGAGCAGCTGACTCATCCCAAAACTCAGATTGATTTCCAGGAAAGTGCCATGTTAAAGGAAGCGTCAAGTTATGTCTTCCAGCAGCCGAAAACGTAAATATGTAGGCAAAAACGAAGCAGTATTTTCTTCGATGATGTCTTGCTAGTGAACGGGCTCATTTCTTGAACAGAAGCTGGCCCAGCGCCTTTTTTTTGAAGGACAATCATACCGAAACTGTCCTGTCGTATAAAACCCTAGTTCTTTCCTTCCCTCGAAACCAAGCTCCTTATGCTTCCGCTTCTAGAAGAAGTATGGTTGAGAAGAAGGGTAATTTTTCCAGCAAGTTTCTGTATAATCAAATATTGACACCTAAAAACTTTTAGCGCACATATCTTGCTGCCTGGGCCCTGAGTCTTTTCTTCCCTCGAGACCAAGCTCCCTGTTTTTTGCTTCTAGGGACAAAAGTGTGGTTTTTGCAAAGTTCAGAAGGCCAGAATTTCCAGCAAAGATGATTTCTTGTCGCAAGAAGCTCGTGGGTCTGCCTTTCCCTCGAGACCACTCTTCTGTTTTCAGAGGCAGAAGTCTGGTTTTTGCAGAGGGAATGGCCACAAGTGAATTTTAAACAAGTTTCTGTAAAACACATTGACACCCAGAAGTTTTCAGCAAAAATATCTTGCTGGCTGAGCTTATGAGTCTCTTTTCCTCGAAACCAAGCTATCTGTGCTGTTTTGCTTTTAGGGGTAAAAGTATGGATTTTGCAGAGTAGAATGGCCACGAATTTCAAACAACTCTCTGTATGATGAAACATCGACAACCAGAAACTTCTGGCGAAAACATCTTGTTGCCTGGGGCCATAATCCTTACTTCCCTCGAGACCAAGCTCCTTGTGCTTTTTTGCTTTT